CTGCTGTGAGTCGCCGGCGACGGCATAGGCTGCAGCCCCTGCTGCAGCGGGTTGCCATGGGCTACCAAGTGTAGCCAGCAGCCAGCGTGAGCGGGCAGTAGCCGCTGTGAGTGGCTGTCCAGAAGCTGGTGACTGATCTGCCTCGCCTGGGAAGAGCACGATGATGGTGCCAACTTGGGCCAGTGATGCAACGTCCTCCACAACTAGACTGAAGAACAAAACGACAGCAACTTGTCTGTTCCCCTTCCCCCAATTCCCCAATAATAAAAAAATCTTAAAAAAAAAAGAAAATTTACAGCACAGTGAATTAAATTCTTGGATTATAAAAAGAAGTGCTAAACAGAAAAATGATGACAATTATAGCCAACTATAAAAGCTGTTCCTCTTAAACACCAGCCAGAGAAACCTGACAAACCCAGTAAATAAATGAATTTAAAGATAAATAAAATACACAGTCGTATGTTAAGAAATGTGAGGGGCCGGCCGAGTGGCTCAGTTGGTTAAGAGCTCGCTCAAGAGTTTGAGCTCTGAGCAACAGCGGTTCGAGTCCAGCCCGAGCTGAGCAGNCGGCCGAGTGGCTCAGTTGGTTAAGAGCTCGCTCAAGAGTTTGAGCTCTGAGCAACAGCGGTTCGAGTCCAGCCCGAGCTGAGCAGCCACTGAGCGCCAAAGGGTAGCAGGAGGCTCAGCTAAAAAAAAAAAAAAAAAGAAATGTGAAAAATCTTAATGCAGTGAATAAATTTAAATTCTAAATTACCAATGTTGACACAAAAAAGTAGAGACCTTAATAATTAAGTTGGAAATAGAGAAATTGTTCCCAAATCATCCTATGAAAATCCTGGGTCTAAATGTTTTATAGGTAAATTGTTTCAAAAAACAGAAAAAGGGCCAGCCGAGTGGTGCATTGGTTAAGAATTGGCTTGGGACGCCAGCTCTGAGCAGCAGGGTTCCAGTTCGGATCCCACATGAGGGCCAGTGATGCTGTGCCCTCTACAGCTAAGATGGTGAACAACAACTTGACCTGGAGCTGGGCTACCATAAGCTACCGTGAGTGGCTGGCAGCTGGCGTGAAAGGCCGGCAGCTGGCGTGAGCTGCCAAGAGCAGCTGTGAGCAGCTGTCCAGTGGCCAGTGACCAATCTGCCTCACCCGGGGAGAGCGCAATGATAATACCAACATGGGCCAGTAAAGCGACGTCCTCCACAACTAGACTGAAGAACAAAAGGACAGCAACTTGTCTATTCCCCTTCTCTGATTCTCCAACGCTGTTCCCTTCCCCTAATTCTCCAATAAAATCTTAAAAAAAAAAAGTTGTCAAAAATCTTTCTCTAAGGGCTATTTCACTTAATAGAGACGTAAAGAATTTCTTTTAGTTGTATTTTCAAAAAAATCTACTGTAACCAATGGGATTTTATCCAAGTATTATTTATAATCGTAAAAATTTTAGAAACAACCCAAATGTCCTATGAGGAATGGTTAAACAAATTTTGGTATATTCATGCAAAGCAATATAATACAGCCATTGAAAGTGATTTAAAAAAAATCCTCATAAAAATTATGTGAAATTTAAAATATTATAATTGAAAATATTTAAGGGAAAAAATATGCACAGGATGAAAAAAGGAAATTCATCAAAATAAACAGAGGTGCTAAAGAAGAGGTATCGTAACTTTTTTCTATTAAAAATCTGTATTTTATATATATATATATATTGACACAGTAAGATATTTATTTTCATAAAAGTGGTACAAGACATACAAAAGTCAGGAAAAGAACCATATTTTTGAAATAGGTCTAACAGGAACAGGTTTTGACACCCTAACATTGTCTTAAAAGCAAAATTTTAAAAAACTGTTATGAAAGTCATGCTGTTTCATGCAATTATTTTACCAGAAAATTAGGGTTACTGTAACTGGAAAAATATCATTTTTTGCCATGTAAGGAGCAGAAAATGCAGAAAGTGTAAAATTGCTGCTTGGGGCTAAGTGGTTATGAATGTTTGCTCATGTGACACCCACTTAGCATGCGTGTACTTTGGAGCAAGGAATGAAAGGAGTTACATGGCTTTGCCCAAAATGAACTGAAAGTATAGAGAAGTATGGGTAAACACACCATTCCATATGACATAAGAACAGTGCTATGCCAGGTGTGCACAGGTGCTATGGGAATGCACAGGAGGGGCACCTGACCTTACCCAAGGCAAGGAGTGTCTGAGTTGAGGCTTAAAGACTAGCTCCAGTCAGCTGAGGAAGAGGCTGACAAAGGGGACTTCCAGACAGGGAGCTCAAACATCCCTGACTGCAAATATCCTGACCTACGTTCAGGAAGTGGCTTGGTTTCCCCTAGTGGCCCAGGAGCATCTAGTCTGAGTTTGGGTGACCCAAGCCAGCTTGTGCTGGGTCTGTTCATCCTGATGATCTAACCACAGAGCTCTTGGGATCTGGAGTCAAGAGAGACCAGGCCCAGTGCCTCCAAATTTCCTCTCCATCAAGGTAGAACACCAAAAAAACCTGGTCTCCATATGCAGCTTTTCTCTTAAAACTTTCTCCATTTCTTACTGTTCTGGTACCTTCAACTTCAAGAATGGAAAACGCTTTTTTTTATTCCTAGTTAAAAATGTAGTACACATATAATGAAGAAAAAGATACACAGTACTTCCATAGAAATAGCTACTAACAATTCTATAGTCTAAGGATTTTCAGGGTGTTCCCCCCCTCACCCATCCGAGGCTCCCGCTGTGGGCCACTTCAGGTATTTTCCCCACCCATCAAAACACCTCAGAGCCCCGACTTTGAAATTCTTGCTCCTACACTTCATTATTCACAACCATCTTTAAAACTAAGAAGAAACTCTACTAGTTCCCTGCTCAAAATCACTGGTTCAAGCTATACTGGGCTCCTTGCAGCTCCTTGAACACACCAAACACACATACTGCTGTTTCCAGAGAATTCTTTCCCAGACATTCTTCAAGTCTGCTCAGATGTCACCAATAAGTATAAGGCTTACCCTATTTAAAACTGCACCCCCACCACAAGTCCCCAACTCCCCCACTCAATCTCCCTTACCTTTCTCTACTTCTAATTTTTTTCTGAGGTGCTGTAAACCTTCCAGGATATCATATAATTTACTTATTTACATAAATTTTTCTGTCTCCTCTTTCTAGGATGAAAGCACCACAAAAGCAGAGACCTTTATAAATTTTGTTCATTAATGTATCCCAACCACCTAGAAAAGTATCTACACATCATAGGGGTTCAATGACCCTGCTGAATGAATGCATGAATGAACAAACAGGTTACCAAGGCCAAAATAAAAACTTCCAAACTCCCTTCTATTCTCATCTACCCCACTGCCTTCAGCTCACACTCACTGTCACACAAGACAAGTTTCAGGAAAATATCCCTCATCTTCTTGCCTCCAAACGGTCCTGACCCACAGTCAATCAGCTCTACTCCCATCCCCTTCAATTTTACCTACCCAGACTCTGCTCCTATTCAACAGCATTTCCACTGACTTTCCCACAGGCAGAATTTCCTTTCCCCTCCCTCTCTGTACTCCAGCAGCCTCTGGGCCTCTGCAACAACACTTAACCACCACCTTTCTTGGGCTATACTTCTGCATGAGACTGTCTTCCCCGCACTAAACCAACTTTCTGGATAAGCAGTCACATGACTCAATTACTCTTTTGCATCCCCTGCGGGCCATGCTCAGGGAAGGGGAACCATTGACAAAGGGAAATTTCTACCTAAAAAGACCCCATTGTAAGGCCATGGTTCTGTTTTGCCCTTTAGCCCAAGTGAGGTAATTCAAATAGACTATCAGTCCATACCATGAGAATAGTATAACTAAACCAGAATGCTTGGGGAACATAACTTGAACAAAAGTGAAGCTTAAAGCTGTCCCTAAAATTCACTGTTCAGGACACAAATCCACTTTCACCATTAAAAAAGCAATTTGCTACCCCTGTGGAAAGGATCATCACCCTTCATGAGGTATTAAGACATCCTAATTCTCACAGCCTACTGAAGCAACACTTGGTACAGAAAGGTGCTGATGACAGTGATTTGCTGTCTCTCCTCAAACCAAATAATTGTCTTGTTCTAGTACTGTTACTTGTCTTACTCCTTAGGGCTCATCCCTGTAAAAAAACATAACAAGAAATAAAAAAATAAAGGCATATCATTTTATACTGTTTAATTTACCGTAAAATGCTTTTAAAGAACATTACTAGTATTTTTATCTTGATTGATCTTGTCTCACACATAGCAACTAGAATCTGTTACTTTTCCTTAATTCTAAAGATAGTGTGGATTAAAATACCATCTGGACCGTGTTATATTTTCACCAATACACTCTATGTAAAATCAGTGGGTAACTTGAGTTGTGATGTTTCTAGAAAATGCCTCCTCCCTCATGACAATGGATTCATAAATCAGCTTCATATTAATTACACTGAAGGCTGGACATCTGGGGATGTGCACTATTATAACTTTGTTAAAGCAGAAAAAGATGAAAAGCTACACCACAAGTCCCTCTTGGGTTTCCCCCCCCCCCCTCCTTGCCCAAAAAAGCCCATCTCCAGCCTCTTCCCAGGCAAATCCAGACCTGACTTCTTAGGCCTCTTAAGGTCCCTCCATGGCCTCTGGGTCAGAAACTTGGCTCCTTTCTCCTTCACTTACTGACAGTCACTTCGTCCTGTACAGTTTTCTATCCGTCACCTCATCCTCTCCATTTCTTATTGACAGAGTTCAAGGAATTGGCTTGGCACCCAAGACTCTCAACACTGACATTTCCCAACACATCCACTCTTTAATTCCTCCCAGAAGACCACAAAACGCCGATCCCCTCCTCCTACCAGTGCGACCCCCCAGCTCTAGATAGACACCTTGGATTTCACAAGGCTAGGAGGCTTGGGGGAAGGGGGGAGGCGACCGAGTCAGGAAAGGGAGTCGCCAGAACAATGACTGCTCCAAACACGCTCCGTAGTAAGGACCAAGCTGCTCACCTGGGGCGCGGCCGTCGGAGGCCTCGGGGCCATTCCTGCCTCGCCTGGGCCCGGATCCCAGATGGGGACTGGGGAAAGAAGAGAGGGCCCACTCACTCGGCTGCAAACGCCGATACCACCCCGTCTCGCCGGACCTGCCTCCGCCCCTCAGACACTTCTCCTGGAGAGAGGGGTGGAGAGGTGCCTGAGCCCCGCGTGGGTCTGCCGCTCCCCATTCCCCATATTAAAGGTTCACCGCGTCCAGGACACCGTCCTCTGGCCACGCCCAGTCCCACCCGCAGGATGATGGGCGCGGTCCCGCGGACACCAGCCAAACCCGTGGGAGGTGCTGCCTGGACCCGTGCACTCGAAATCACCGCCTCCTGGGGTCTCCGGATTTTGCGACCTCAGGCCCACCCAGGGTTCTGGCCGGCTTCTGCCGCCCCTGCTGCAGACTCAGTCCTCTCCAATTCTAATGAGCGGAGGGGCGGCCCAACCGGCCTTAGACGCACCGGGGCCGGACAATGGCCGCAGCGGCGGGGGAGAGCCGGAAGTGCGCCTGCGCACGTGGAGCCTGGCTCCGGCAACCCTGGGGTCGCGGCGAGTGCGCGGACTACACTTCCCAGAGGCCCCCGCGCGTGTGCCTTCAGAGTAGGCCTGGGAGGACGCAGCGCATCCTTCCCAGCGCAGCCGTGGGGTGCGCTGTGAGGGCCTAACGAGTTCGAGATCGTGGCTTGGTTAACTCTTACGTCCACTTATTCCAATAATCGTCACCAAGCGCCTCCTCTTGTGCCTGGGGCATGTTGCTAGGGACGGGATACAGCAGATCAGACAGGAAAGACCCAGTTTGAGGGAAGCGAGTTTACACTCTGTGGAGGAAGGCAACAAACATGTGAACAGATCAACAAAAGCAATAGGAATAAGAAGGTGAAGGAAGTGGGACAACGATGCATCTTCATCACAGAATGCTATTTCTTCGCCTCTTCTATGCCACCTTCCCCCATGTTATGCCATCTTACCGAAGGTTTAGACACTTGACTCCTCAAATCACACCTGCTATGACTAAGACACTTGATGAAATGTTTAATGGTACTACAGGAGAGAAAAAAAAACTTCAGATAAACCCCTAGCCTCCTGAACAGTGTGCAGAAACAAACCGTTCTACTACTATGTTATTTCATTCCTTGGTATCTCATTGCTTAGAATTTTGTGCTTGGGACAAGCTATAAATCATGGAAAATTCCAAAACCTAGATAGGTGAAAGCCTATCTAGGGTACAATGATTAGATTTATATAATTATGTTTTATATACCATAAGTAATCAGTTTACATTTCCTAGACTTAGGCTTAATTTCTTAACATTAGAGTAGCACATATTCACTTGGCAGAAAATGATTACAAGTAAATGGTCCTTTTTTACATTGCTTTATTAAGAGGATGGATGTTAAAAATATTAAGGATTTCTACCACTGCTGCATAAATGTAATGCTCTGGAACAAGCAGAAAGCGTAATTCAGAAATATGAATGAGTGGTTTAAGGAGGCCTCTCTGAGGCAGTGACTTAGTAGCAGGAACATGAGGGAGAAAAGAATTCTGGGCTGAAGAAACTGAGGGCGCAAAAGTCCTAAAGTGGAAATAAATTTGATGTGTTTTAGAAACAGATGCCTAATGTAGCTGTAGGGAGAGGAGAGTGAGTGGAGTAGAGGCAGGATGGATAGGCTGGGGTTGTTGGATGAAGCAAGGTTCTGGAGGCTGTGATAAGTAATGTGGACTTTACTTTGAATGTGACGGGAGCCACTGGATTAGCAGCAGAAATGGGGTCACTTGTTATCATACTATGAGAGGATAAGAGAAAATTTTTCTGTTGTCTCTAAATTGACAACCAGGACAAAGAGCAGAGAATAAATTATTCTGCATTATGCAGAGAGACAAAACATTTGGGGCTAGATACCCTTAGATCTTACAAAGAGGTGGCAGGTGCTGAATTTGCCCTGCTAGTATTAATCATCGCCTCATCCCCGCCCTTTCCCCCAGGCTACATAAAAAGAGGATGGGAAAGAAAAGGAAGAATGCCTCAGAATAGCACCTGGTGGGGAACTTGATGTTCTACCACCCACCCCCAAGATGAATGTGAGAAAGAAAAGCACTCAAACGTTGACAGCACCCAGGAGAAAGGGAGGATTTACAACTATCCCAATGCCTCCCCAGGCAAGAGTAAGGGGAATTAGAGAACAGGATGAGTGTAAGGAAAGCAACCTGAGTTTTATTGTGTAGTTAAGTGGAGGCACTGGAAAATAACTGGGCTTTAGCACTCCGCCCTCCCACCCTACCTCCCCCCACACCCCCACAGTCCTCCCCCCATCCTGCCCTGGGGCAGGGTGGTTGCAGCTAAGAACAGTAGGAGGTTGTAGAATTAGCTGGGGATGAGAAGGAGCTGAGGTAGATGGTACACTGAAAGCTAGTTTTCACTTGGAAGTCATTTGCCAAAGAGCTTTGTTTTTCATGGTCCTATAAGCACAGGGACCAGGTGATGAAATTCAAGTGCCATTCAAGACTCAAGACACACACACACACACACACACACACACACACACACACACACACACCCAATGCAAATTGGAATTCCACCTCCTGGTGGAAACTGCAAGGTAAATTGCCCATTCCAAACCTTGGCAATGAGAGGAAGTGGGAGAAAATATCTCCTCTGAGAATTGGTAACCACAAGCTTGTCCTTATGTGGATTTGAAGCCTGAATTTACAGTCCATAGATCCTCTAAAAAACCGCAAGTTGAGAATTTAGTTTATACATTGGTCACAGGCTAATAGTGCTTCCAGGAATCTGGCAGAAGCTAACACAAATCCTGCCAGGTGGAACTGACCTTCAGCCCAGGCCTCCCCAAATATGATACCAAGAAATATGAGTTCGCAGTCTTGAATTACAAAACACATATAGAAAACAAGGACCCATGAATGACAGACAGTAGGAAAAAATAGCATAATCAGATTCATAACAACCTCAAATATAGGGAGTTCTCAGATCCAGAATTTACAATCATATGTTTAATATGCTTCAAAAGTAATTTTAATAAACTCAAGAAGGGGTTGAGTATATGAGTAGAAAGCAAGAGTCTAAAAATATTATCAAACAGAATTGAATAAGAACCAAATAGAACTTTAACAAATGAAAAATTATAGTAAGTTAACTTCACACACAGAGTTAACAGCAGATTAAACACAGCTGAAGAGAAAATCAGTGAACAAAAGGTAGACCTGAGGAATTTATCCATAAAAGAACAAAGAGATGGAAACAAACAAACAAAAAAGCAGAGAGCTATATCTAACTGGGTTCCAGAAGAGAAGGGGCTGAGGTAATATTTGAAAAGATAAAAGCTGAGAATTTTCAGAACTGACAAAAGGTACAAATTTAACAGAACCTGGAGTACTAACATCCCAAGCCAGAGAAATAAAAAGGAATTTACACTGAAATACATAATGAAAGTGATAAATACCAAAGAAGATCTTAAAAGTAGTGAGAGAAAAGCAGACAGATTACCATTGAAAGGCAGAGGTGTGTATAGAGATGTCACTCGTCATAAGGTCCAGGACTCAGAGGGATATGCAGAGACAGGAGGGAGACCCAAATTGGGCTCTAGATATATCTATATCTATATATCTGTATCTGTATCTATATCTATATCTATATCTATATCTATATATACAAACCTTTAGCACTCAAGAGCAGTAGACTAGCAAAATGGTACAAAGATACTTACACTCATTTTTTTTTTTTTTAAGCTGAGCCATCCTGCCACCTGTTGGTAGCTCAGCTCCAGCCGGGCATCGAACAGCTGTTGCTCAGAGCTCAAACTCTTGAGCGAGCTCTTAACCAACTGGGCCACTTGGCTGGTCCCTTACACTCACTTTTAACATACGATTTTAAAAGGTTTTTGTTTTTTTTTTTAAGATTTTTATTAGGGAATTGGGGGAAGGGGAACAGACAAGTTGCTGTCATTTTGTTCTTCAGTCTAGTTGTGGAGGACGTTGCTTCACTGACCCAAGTTGGCACCATCATTGCGCTCTTCCCGGGCGAGGCAGATCAGTCACCGGCTTCTGGATGGCCACTCACTGCGGCTGCTGGCCGCTCACGCTGGCTGCTGGCTATACACGGTAGCCCATGGCAACCCACTGCAGTAGGGGCTGCAGCCTAGCCCCCGACTCACGCCAGCCCAGCTCCAGGTTGAGCTGTTCTTCAGCATCTTAGCTGTAGAGGGCAGTGTCACTGGCCCTCATATGTGGGATCCGAACCGGGGCCCTCTGGCGTCCCAAGCCAGCTCTTAACCAATGTGCCACTAGGCCGGCCTCGATTTTAAAAGTTTCAATTGTCCATTTCAAGGAATATTTATAAAACCTGGAGTTGCTAGGGGAAAGGAGACCAACTGGTGTTCCGAGGGCAAAGCCCCTCCATTCACAGCGCTCTAGTGGTTGGCTCAGATTTCTGCAAAGAAAGTCTTAGGTCAGGGGTCCATGTATGCCGCTATTGTCCGGCAGCATGACGCAAGCAACAGAATGACCAGTTTCCTCCAGGTGGGTTCAAGCTTTTCGGCGCGAAGGGTGCAGGGCAGGGCACAAACAAGCCTCCCAGCCAATCAAAAGTCACACCCTTCTTCACGCTCTCCTGTCTCCATGACAACTGCCTCAGCATCTGCTCTGAACTCAGAGTTCGGCGTTTGAAAAGACTGCCTCCAGGTCCAGTCGAGGCTCGGGGCACCCGGGACAGGCCAAGAAGGTTGGCAGGGGCACCCACGTGCCTGAGTGGTTCCCTAAAGCCTCTTCACACACTGCGACCTGGTGGGCAGGAGGCTGACCCTCTGCTTGAGGAGCAAATGATATGGGACCAGCGGGACCTTGTCCTAGCCAGAGCAGAGGTAAAGAGACTCATCGTTAACGCCAAATGCCTTCCATGTTGCCTGCTTTGTCTTTCACATCCACGTGGATTTGACCTCAGTTGGCCCGCAGTGGGTTCGGTCTTCTAGCTGGGGCCTCCCCCAGAACACAAGAATATCCAAGTTCCAGTCACTTAAAACGTTTATTAAAAATGTTCCACCCTCTGGTTTCCACAAAAACTCATTAAAGGAGATGGGGCCGAAGGTAGCTTGCCCAGATCCAACAGTTAAGCCAGAGAATCAGCAATTCCAGGAGCAACAGAAAACTTGGGTCCCCTGTCTTCAGTGCACTCTCTGGCCGGGAGAACATGACTGGGGCGCTGAGTGGGGGCTGCGTAGCTTCAGCCCTCCGCTTTGGAGATCTAAGGCTGAGCTTCGAGTCGGACCCGGAGGAAGTGAGTCTCAGCGCCAGTGTCCTCTTGCTCAAATAAAACCAGCACATGCTTCAGTTTGGAGCTTCCCGGTGTCAATCCACAGAGCACTGGGATCGAGCGCCACCTGCCGATCACTACGATTTTCTACCTCTGTAAAGTCATCCGCATAACAATAAAGCAAACTTTTGTCAGTTTCTTTCTACCTGCCAGGTCCAGGCGAGGCTCTTTACATACATACTTTACTTTACAAACATACCTTATATCAACTGAATTTAACAATCTATGAGGTAAATATTCTTATCCCAATTTTACCTGTGAGTAAACAGGTTCAGAGAACTGAAACTTGCCAAAGTCACTCAGCTACGACATGTCAGACCTTGGATTCAAGTCTCAGGCATGCTCTTGACCTCTGTGCATACTACCCTCACAGGTTACAGTTGAGTCCCTGGTGATCCTGCCACCGAGGGCCCTCCAGTGGACCCTTACACCCTGTCTCTGACCCTGTAGGCTCAGCACAAGTTTTCCCCCAGGGCTCTTATGCCCCCTGTGGAT